TCGAGTAAAACGGTTATAACTCAGCCCCACAGGTGCATGGGTCCAAATCCTCTTAGGGTTATTCTAGTGTCGGGATCTCCTACTTATCCCCAAAGTATGAGCTCAAAAGCGGTGAATCACTTGGGGTAGTTCCCTCGTTAGATCTATTAGTCCAAAAGTTGTTTTCTGATCTATGCAAATTATAGACACCTCGGCGTACTCTATAATTTGAGTAGATTATCAACGACCCTGGCAAAAATGATTATATTCGGAATCAATTTGGTCGATAACTCATAATTTAGTAATTATGTCATGAGAAAACAATTGATCAATTGAAAACGCTCTCTCATGAGACTCATAATATCAATTGTTAACATGCGTAAAAACATATATATTCGATTATTTTATGACAAACAGATTTTTATCTATCATCTTCCATTGTCTAATATTATATATTAATTAATTTTGAGTCATCTACGGTTGATCACAGATATAATCTAGCAAAAAAAACGAGAACAATCAAAACACTAATTGCACATTTGTAAAACAGATATCGTAATAGAATTGATATTATTTCTGATTTATTATTTTCATAATATGCATCCTTGAATAACTTATTCGTAACCTCTAATATAAATAATCATTAATTCAATAACTATGATTAACATAGATTTAATGATATTTATTTTGAAAATTGGTATGTTAATATCAATATTATTGCTTTTTATGTCAAACTTGATATTCTGTTCTAGATTAAATAATTCACTGAAAATAATAGACACCTTCTTGAATAATGTAATCATTCAAAGAATTCATTGTATACTTTAAAAAAAAAATAACAACATAAATTTCTTTTCAACAAATTATCGTCTATTCATCTATTGTTCAAATATGATATTCATAGTTTATTCTATAGTTGTTAGTAAATTAATGAGCTGTTCAATACGTCAACATAAACAAAACCAGATTGTTTATATTGATAAATTATATTTCCATTAACGTTCCTTTTTTTTTTTTGTTCGATAATCTCTACGGCATTTTTTGTTTTTCATAATTGAATATTCATAGGATTTTATTCAATATTACTAAAGTTTGTCTTCATTCAATAAATGCACTTTCTTTATCTGTAGGGTTTTGATTCAATTATTAAAATGAAAACTGTAGTATGTTATTTGAACCACTCATAATGTTGACCTTATTATTACAGTGGCTTGTTATATGTAATACAAATAAATTTCAATTGATTTTATTCTTCTTTTCTTTCATAAAATATGAAGATTTATAATACAAGTTTCATAGAAAAGAACAAAAAAAAAGGCAATATTTCTAAATATAGACATTCATATTATAAAAGTAGAATTACTTAAATGTACAAATATTTAAAAAAAAAGGTTATAACGTACAAATAAAAGTTCGTTTGAATTGATTGCATTGAATAAAACCAAAATATTCATATGTGATTTTTTTTTTTCATAATAAATTTAATTCGTCTATCATCTATCATAGTCATCAATATGTATATGCTAGCCTATCTTTACGTGTTCTTAGTGATACACATGTGTGAACGTCTCTGATCTGTACAGTTAGTTAGACTACAATTTATCAGGCTTGACTGATCGATCATTGTCCGGATACGAGAAAAAGAAGACAAATGTTTATATCTTTAGCTTTACTATACGATGGTTCATTCTTCTTCTTTTTCTCTACTTGCTGTACGCGACCGATATGTTGATTATGTGCTTTGTACATACCTCAAGAAATGTTTAGCTTGTCTATCTATGAGAACAAAGAAACTCATATATATATATATTCAGTATTCTCTCCTATTTATTCATCATTTTTTTTTTACATTTAATATCGATAATAGTCATTAGATTGAGAAAAAGAATACTTCAGTAGACTTTTTTTTTCTTCTTTTCTACATAGAAATAGAACATAACTTGTCCTTGTCCGTTCTTTTGATGTGAAACAAAGAGACATATAAATATTGGCATAAAAACCTTTAATACATAGACAATGAAAAGTAAGTATGACACAAGTTTCCATTTTCAAGGTAAATAACATACATATACATATATATTTTACAACAAGTAACAGTAGTAAAGTAACTATACTATTGTAGTTGTTCTGTTTCTTGTACTTCATTTTTGTATATTATTGCATAATTGTCGATATTACTATTCTAACAATAGAAAGAGTATAAATATAATATATGAGAGTGTAACGGCCAAAGGTCGTCCTGGCAATGAACTTAGTGATGATGGTCATCGATCTATCTAATTGAATCTGTTTGGTATTAGTTGGTAGGAAATACAGAGAGAATAGAACATAGAACGGAGCATCTCGTTATTTCTATGTATTCTTTTTGTTTGGTTGCTTCTTATTATAACTCGATTGAATATTCTCTTTTTTTTTTTTTCTTCTTTCGCGATTCGATCCATTTATTTTTTTTTCTTATACGTTAGACAGACAGATATGCACATATATATATATTGGAGCAATGCTATATGAGATGCAGGGTACCACCGTCTGCTTCGTATGAGTATACGGAAGCAGTAGCCTTTGTGAGATTGGGACGGAAAAAAGGAGAGAGAGAGAGAGAGAAAGGAAGAGAAGGAGAAGAAGAAGAAGAAAAATCGATGCATTTGCCCATTGTCGTTGTTATATACACATATATATACATACATAGTGACCGATCGAGGGCAGTCGGACAACTATAAAAATTCAATTTTTGTGTTTCTTCTTCCTTGCTACACGTAAGTGAGATTGATTGTATTCAGTAAACGAAGTGAGGTCAATGTCATCAATATGACTGCCAACAGTACGTTGAATTACGTCTGTGCTTCTTATCGTTCTGTTTCATACATGTATTTAATTTGGTGAACTTCTGTCGATTTTTTTTCTCTCTTTATACATATAGATGATGTAAGTTTGGCATTTTTTTTTTCTTACATTTTATACATTCTTTCTTTCTTTTTTCTTTTTGTCTACATCTGGAAGTGTAGGTAAAGTATTAACATAGACAGACGAACATTATATGAAATGTCTTATCATGATTGCCCATTTGGATGTTAGTTCATTTCTTCTTTTTTTTTTTTTCTTCTCTACGTAATCATATCGGCAGTAATAACGCGAAAGACAACATACAACACATTTTGTCTTCGTTCTAATGTAAACAGAATCATCGTATCGTCGTCTATTACTTTAAGATTAAACAGGAATCTTTTCCTATCGATCGATTTTTTTACTAAGCGATGATATCTTTAAATGATGATAGATATATAGATAGAAACAACATGTTCTTCTTTTCTATGTTTATTATAAAGAAGTAATGATCTCATATAGTTTCTTTACCATTCTATAGACCGAATAACTTATTTAATATTAAAAATAAATTCTTCGTTGTTTTGTATTTTCAGATGCCAGATACAGGTGCGATGGCATCAACTGTATCAAATCAACTTCCACCACGTACAACAACAAGTCATCGATGGCCTAGAAAATGGGCAACACTTGGTGGACGTGGTACACCATCAACACCAATACCTTCAACAATTAATAATGCTTCTGAATTTACTGAGAAAAGCAATGGTCATCATATGAATGGTAATGGTCATCATCAACGATATTCAACATCATTATTTCGTAAATCATCAACAATAAGTCGAACAAATGGTGGTACAACAATAAATAATTCCGATCTAAATAATGAAACTCCATCATTAAAAAAATCTCGTTCATTAATAAATGTTTTACGTTCAAAACTAAATTCACCAGCTGTACTTCGTCGTTTTCGTACAAAATCACGTGAAAATACAAAACAAATTATAACAGAAATAAATCATGATGATAAAAATACTACTACTATTACTAATAATAATAATAATCATAATGATTATCATGAAAAAAATTCAACACAATTAATAAATGATGATAATAAAAAAATACGTAAACGTGATCCATCACCAATGAAACGTTTTACAAGTCGTTTAGCTCAATTAACACGTAGTTCAACACATACATCTATTGAAAATGAACAACATACACGAAAATCTCCATCACCACCAATACATAATAAAGATCAAGTTGATCATATAAATGCGTGTTATGATGAAATTCGTGCTAAATATTTTGATAAAAATAATAATAATACAAAACAAAATACATTACCGAATTTATCTCAACAACATTCAAATGTTGTTCCATTAACAAATGAACGTTTTAAAGATATTCTATCAACAACAACAGCATCATCAATTGAATATTATGAACGTCCAAATAATGATATACATAATCGTTCATTAAGTACAATATCAATGAATGGTTCATTATTTAGTCATGATTTTTTAAATAATTCTCAACAAGTTGCTCAATCATCATCACCACCAATACCATCCGATGATCCATTACTTCAAGCACGTAAACAATCAAATATTAAATTAAATTGTATGTTAAGTGGTTATGGTTTTACAACACCATTTGGTAATCATGAAAAATCCTTAGGTCAACATGATATATTTAAATTTCATCATTATCATGATGTTGGAAAAAGAAAATTTGATTTTAATTTTACAAATAATAATAATAGAATGTATTCAAGTTTAAGAACACGACCAATGAGTAGAAGTATTGATAGTTTTAGACGAGCAACAACTACAAGTATGTTTTATTTGTCTTTTTTTGAGTTTGAGCTTTTTCATGAAAATTTCATTGATATTTTTTTTTTTTAGTTGAAAATGAAATAATACCAACAAATTCAACAGGTAAATTACATGAAGAGATACTTGAACTAGATGGTTTTTTATCGATTGAAAAATATTTTATAGATGAGCAGGCTCAATTATCTGATACTTTTAGTACTCAATTGCTTTATGTAGATTCAACTAGATATGAGAGAAATTTTTTTTTTAGTACTCTTGTGACCAGTCAGAAAAGTAGCTAGACAAACGTAATTCATTTTGTTGTGTATAATGATGATATTTATTTTTGAGATTCGAATTGATTAAGCCTGTGTCGCGAAGACGTCGATATTGAGATAATAAAGTTCAGATGATTTTGAGCATACAAATAAATATCACCATTAGACACAGCACAATGTTTTACATCGTGTATAGTTGCTTTTCCAGGTGATCCTATGTAAATTGGGCGATGTCGATGGTCTCAGGAAAAGTCTTATCACCCTCTAACGTAACAATATAGGAATGTTAAATTTAGCTAAACGGAAGGAGAAATAGCTTCAGTAGTATAAAACCGAATCGATCAAGTGCTGATCAATAAAATTTCGATGCCTCTGGATCTTTTCGTTTAAGCTTTGAAGAGCGTAGATCTATAGTATTCCTATCAGAACTTATTTGAACAATAGTAGAGCATGTTTCTTTTTTGCAATGGGTAATACGTTGCTATAGTCCATATATATAAATGCTAATGTACTGGTATTGTTTGAGCTTCATGTGTCACTATGAATGAGAGGTGTCAAGGGTTTTCTTATCATCGTTTTGTTAAATGTATTTCATATCTAGCTTGTTAATGTATACCAATTCAAGCACGCACTGACTCTATCATATACACATATCATCATCTTTAAGACAGGCGTGGGAGACGATGATAGACTTAGTGCGTGCTTGAACAAATATTGATATGTATCACTCTAGTTATTAATACTGATAAACTTTGAGTCAACTGTTGATTGATGAGTCTGTTCGCTATGATACCCGTGGCGTTATTTAACTGTCGTAGGGTCATGAGACTTCTGGTAACTTTGACGCTAGGTTCGCGTTAACACATTTTGTTGCTGAAAGCATTTATCAAAAGATCAAATTTAGATTTGAATCGTTGTTGGGTAAATCACTCGTCTCTGTGCTATATATAGAAATATGACATATTCATCTCTGAGGAATCTAACGCATGGAAACGACTATAACATGATATTGCTGTCTGGAAATTGTGTAAAAACTTAAGTGCAGCAAGGAGAATTAAATGTTTTTTTGAAAGTGCTCCCATTAACAAAGTTATGATGATCGAACAAATCAGCTAGTTTTGAACTGATCAATGGCCATCTGACCCAGAAGCTACTTAATCTTGGACTATCAACTATGCTGATTCAAAATATGATTATTAGAAATTTTCCTAAGTGTATATGCTAATTTTGTAGCCTACTAAAAATTGTTTTAGATAATAAAACGTAGTAGATGAGGACGTAAGAGACTTGCTCATGGTCCCATTGAAAGTTCATATGGTTGATAATCTATAATCGGATAAGTTTCTTTGACTGAAACTATTTTGCATATGTTTTGCAATCAAGAAGATTTCAATATAAGTTCAATTATCCGCAGTTTAAGTAGCGACATAAACTAATGAACATATGGATGATTGATTTATAGAACGGAACAGATTTAAAATATAAAACTGATGTGTCTACTTTCCATAATGCTGCGGAAGTCAATGATTAGTCTAATAAAATTCTTTCAGGCTAGAGTCACAATATATGCTTATTGACTTCCATGCTTAGGAAAGTATCGGGAGATTGTCACACTGTTTGGCAAAGCAATGGAAAGTTAACCTATGGGCGGAGACCAATAATTACGCCGTTTCTCCCCCTTCGAGAAACAAGATGACACCTAGCCACTATGTAGAACGTTTTAATATAATTCTTTATGAAGGTTGTATTTTCATGAATATATGAAAGTTAAATCGAAAAATTAATTTTTACAAATATGCTATTTCCCAGTGATATCTAAGATATTAATGAAAGTGCTAACAGATATTTTAATGTGTATTATAATTTAATTGTATGATTTATTTTATTTAGTTGAATCCGATAATGATTTACTTATTGACGATGAAAATTCATCGAATGTTCTCATTGATAATGAACTTGTCATACGTGAAGACGGTGATATAATAGAATCTGAACCGAAAGTATATTCATCAAAAGTTCATGTTACACCAGCAGCTTGTCTTCATGTAAAAACATTTATTTCAACATCTTCGAATGTATCTCATACAAATGAAAATTTATCAAATGGAAAAACATATGATGAAAATGATGATCAATTTGAAAAAAATTTTTTACGTGCTGTTGATCGAGCACTTGGTGTTGTTAATAAAGATGAAAATCATTTATTACAACCAGTTTATGATTTACCAATGAATAATGATAATTCAAATATGAATCTTGTTGAAATTACTGAACGTGCACTCTCAACATTTAATAATACACATATTCTTATGGTAAGAAAAAAAAGAATTTATAATTAAATTATATTAATTCTATTTATTTTTTCTAGGAAGATAAACAAAAAAATGGTAAGAAAAATTTAATATTATGTTACGCAACACGTAGCAGAGAATATGTCTTCGGTTGAAATGATATTTTAGTCAGAAGTACGAATAGGAAGACTAGAAAAACCGCCAAAAGACTTATACTCATTGATCTTTATTTTGAAGTTATGACTGTTTTTACTGAATGTTTGATCTAGAACAAAATGTTCATAGGAAAAATTTAGAGACAAACCATTTTCAGCCGAACTTCTGCTTATGAATATTCAAAAAAGAATGATTATATATCATGCATGAACTTTTACAAGTGATTATTCAATATGCTCGAACAAAACTGTCTGAGAATTTTGGATAAAAATTCAGGTGAAAATTCCTTGATTTTTAAAGTTTTTTGTATATCTTGCAATAAGCCGAAAACTCAATACAACGATTATAATTCCATAAAGAAAGTTTATAGGCATAAATCCTTCAGTGTTCACCTGATTGGCAAAATATCATTTAGGTGGAGAATTAATAGCTAAAGAAATCTCGAATTCAGTTTGAGTTCAAAACTTATCATGTCAAAGAAAAAAAAAATGGAAGTTTTATGTAAATTTTTTTTTCGGATAAGATAAAAGGACGCAAATCAATTGTTAACGTTTTAAATTTCTACTCTTTGATGGACAAGAAAAAGAAGTCGGGTGACCGGAACTAATTTTTTCGACATTTCCGTAGTGCATTCTAGACTCAAATTTATCTTCCGATGATATTTAACATAGTTCCATCAAATATAAAATGACGTGAGTGACAAGTATAAGTACTGATCGATCGTCGGAAGTACTGTCTAGGAATGCAAATATATTCTTCAGAATTAATTGTGAAACGGCTGTTTTATTAAGATCAATTATTGGTATCATATAACTCATCACTTCATAAATAAATTCCTTAAGAAGAAGGGCGATTATAAGTCTCCCAATAATATTCGGCTACATAATAGGATACATCTAAGCTTGTAGGAAACAGCTTTCTACATCTAATGATGTACCTATTTCTACTGCACGCTATTCACCTGTCGATAGGTGGCGCCATCTATCGACAGGTCAATAATGTTTACGTTGATCCAATGTCCAGCAAGCTGGTGCATGGAGTGTGGTACGCTATCCGATGGTTTTGGGGGACGTTCAATGAAAACGCTAAATATTGAAAAATTCTTGCAGAACAAAAATCGAAGAAAGCTTCTTTTCTCTTCAATTAATTCGAAATAAATTATTAGATTTTTTGTTTTCTGTCTGAATAGAACAAATTGATAATGAACCTCGTATTGATGGTGCTGAATCACCCAATGTTGAATTATTCGATCGTACTGGTGAACTTTTTGATACGGAAAATGTTCATTGGCAATCATCAGCTGTTTATGATCATCAACCACCGATAACAAATAATGAACAAGATAAATTAATTGTTAATGGTAATGATGAAAACTCAATTGATGATCATGTATTGTCAATTGTTGATGATTTAACACGAAAAACTCATGAATTTTTACTCGATGAATCACAGGTAAGTTCAATAAACAACTAACATGATGTAAAGAGAAAAAAAAAAACACTCAATTATTCACACTCGATATCAAAAAGAAAACATCGTACGCACGTTATATATTCATATAAATGGTGATGGACTCTTGTTTTTTTGCTTTTCTTATATTTCAAATCTTTGCATGAAGATCAATGTCTATATTCAGTGTTTGTCGTCAGTATTTTGTTCTTCTTCTTCTTTCTCTCTTTTTCGTCAGATTGTTGTGTACCTGTGTGTATCTCGTTTTTTTTTTCTTTCTTGTTTTTGTGGTTTTTTTTTTTTGAACACCTTTCTTTTCTTTAATTAATTAACACGAAATTGATCATATATATATAAATAATCGTAAAAGAATTGCTTGTATCACTCTATCCTTTTGTTTTGTTCTCTTTTTCTTTTTCTTTCTTGTTCTGGTGTTTCGAGTTAACCGTTTGCTAATAAACATGATGAGAAATGATGCATGTGCTAATCTTAAAAAGAAAAAAAAATGAAACAAAATAATAATGATCATGAGATTATTTTTTATTAAGTTGATAAATATTTTGTTTCGAATATGACATTAGCTAATCTGTAGTTGTTTTGAGAGATATTTGTTTTAATGCATTTGTTTATAATTTGAAGATTATCTAATAGAATAATAGTTTTTTCTTGTTTGTCTGTATAGCATGTTAATATTAGACTGTAGCACCTAAACTCAATAACTATGTTTGAATATTTTAAACTTATTATAACCTTTAGTCAATAAACTGCCTGGAACCATGTCTATCTTTAACAATCAAACAGATAATTATTCATTAAAACAAATAGTTTAATCAGAGATTGAAAGAAAGCTGAAAAATAACACAAAGTTTTTGTCGATAGTCTCTAATATTACACGCCTACTACTATTTTCTATCGGTGGTTACATGCTGTACCATGTGATTCAGTTTTGACATTTTTGGAAAAAATTTTGTTTGGCTATGATGATTGATTAATCAATGACTGACTAAGAAAAATTAAACAGAAGTCAATGTAAATTCATTCATTCTATCTGTCAATATTTTTATCTGAACAAGAAAAATAACGTATGTCTCTCAAAGATGGCAAGAAGAGAACGAAGCGAACAAGTTTGCTAAATAACATATTGTCTGACAGATACATAGTCAAGAATATTCTTCAATGAAGAATAGATGTTTTCGAACATACCGATTCCTATGTCTCTTGTTTTGATTTGTCATTGTTATCAAATGATGACTGATGTATATTACTATATGACATTTTTATATCTACTATGTTGATATTGAAGATCCAACTCTCGTTTATACGATATAAAGATAACCATTAATTTTCAATGTAGTGTTTATCACTCTTTGAATAATGAGATATCACACCTCTACTAACGGTAAACTATTGAAGTTTAATCGAAAAGATCAAGAGTGTATCGAATGAGTTTTATTTCTCTTAACACCTAACACAGCCGATAAATAGCAATCGATAATAGTAGGGAATTAAAAATTTATGAATAGCAATCAATCGTATGAAAAATAGAATGATTTCCTTACAGTTAGCTCATTAGTTTTAGTAATACATTTTTAATACTTTTCCGTTATTCTCGCTAACTTTTTCTTTTGTCATACGAGAATATTGACAAATGATGATTATATTATTTTAAATAGTCGCATTAGATTGCGACTACAAAGAAAAACTAACTAAAACATGCTAATAAATAACTTTTGATCTTTTCTTTCTGTCTTTCTCTCTCTCTCTCTCTCTCTTTTTTTTTATACATGAACGTAAGATCAGTGAATATGCCTGTATAATCTAGTTCATTCTATTTTCACATGAACACGCGTGATAGACGACATACAGTGCCATCGGGGGAAATTGAATCTAATATATTTATTTAATATGGATTCCCTCCGGAATGAATAAATTATTCTTTATATGTATATATATTTTTTCTTTTCGTTTGCTACTGCCCTCCATATATATATTTTTTTGGATGGACAATTGATGATGAAAAAGGAAGAAAAATTTCATTCGTTGCTTCTCGTGTTTTTTTTCCTTCGTTTTGATGGTGTCAAGTTTGTTATGGTAGTCTTATAGAGAAGTGTCGAGTGATGATGATGATGACTCATGTTTTCTTTCTTTGACTAGTGTTGTTTTTTTTTCTCTCTCTCTCCCCTCTTCGTATTCTTTTTTCTTTTATTTAAAGCACGCACATATATTCAGTGAAATAAGCCAGCCAGTTCCGAGAGAACAAGTTCACACACATACTAGTTTCGATCATATATACATCGTCATTTTTCTTTTTCTTTTGTTCATTTCATCATCATCATCATACTGGTCGCGTCCTCTCTTTCTTCTCATTAGTTACTTTTGTTGTGCGGTCGTCTTCGCTATTAAAATGGTAAGCACAAATAAGTTTTCTATTCAATTAAGTTGTATTAAAACTTCATTTTGTATATATATATATATATACTAATGTTATTTTCCCTAATGAGAACATGTTCGATCACTTTATTTGTGTATATAGGTCTATAAAAGTAGCTTAGCCAATGTCTTTTTTTTTTCATAATCATTTTTGAATATGTCGAGTTCAGTAGTAACAAGGGTTTGTCCATTAATGAATATTCATTTCTTTGAATAAGTAATGTCTTCTATTTAGAATGGCCAACAATTCTTGGCCATATTGGACAATGAAGAGAAGACGATTAAATCAAAAGCAGACGGTTATAATAAACTTCTTCAAACTGATGATAGCCGTCTAAATGATGATGGTAAGTACCATTGACTTTTTTTCTGTCATAGAAAAGAAAAACAAATGTCATTCTTTTAAAAGTTCGGTCTGATATTAATGCTGTGATCGGTGAAGTTAATTTATTACTTAAAGGTAAACTTAAACAATTTCGTGGTTTATGTCAAGCAAATGTAGTATGTAGAAAAAAAAAACGCTGTTTTATATGAAAGAAAAAAAAATTTCTTTTTTTTTCTTGTAATATTCTATTTAATAGTCAAAATCAAACACATCTGCTGGTGAACCAACACCACTTGATAGTGATCTTGAAGGTTTTTGGGATATCACATATCCATTAATTGATAAAGTTAAGATCAAATTTACAAAACTTGATGCACGTAAAGCTAAACAATGGGCTTCAATTGAAGATGAATACGATCCAAATGATGGTATTATTTATTTTGAAATAATTTCTTTTAAATATTAATTTATTATTATATTTTAGTTAATAATCGACCTCGAATTATTGACGAACGTCTTAAACAACTTCAACCTCATCAAAATAAATCAAAAATATCAACAAAACCAGCTAATGATGATTTAAAAAAATTAATTCAAGAACGACGAAAAGCAGCTGCTAATGTATCGAATACAGCTAATCAAAATCATGACATAGAAATATTCGTTACACATAAATAAAATAACTACTCTTCTGGTTTTTTTTTCTCTTGTCGTCTTGTGCAATATGTTCTTTTCTCATAGACACTATTAACATTTCTTCTTCTTTTTCTATTCATTTATGTGTAATTATCGCTTTTCTTTTTTTTTTTTTTTTATTTTTTTATTTATGCTGTTTGTAATACAAACAACGAAAATAAAAAAAATTATGCCTTCTTTTTTTTCTTTCCTATCAATAAAGTATAAACAGGAAGAGAGAAAAAAAGATCAGAGAAAATATATGTACTCTAGGATAATGACATTTTTTTCCTGGTTCTCTCTCCCTCCCCCTCTCCCCCCTCTCTCTCTCCCTCTCTCTCTCTTGTCAACAACTATAATAAACAAACGAATACAATATTACACATTGCTAACTCAATGAAAGTACCGGCAAATGTACTTTTGTCTCTATCTACTAATAATGGTGACCATTATCAATTGTCTGTGTACAATTACTTTAACCAGTTCATCAACAAACAATGGTAGCAATCGAATTGATCCAATTGTACGTAACCTTAAACATATTGTTGATACAGCACTTCAAGACGATACATCGAATGATATTGATAATGATTTTTTAATTGAACAACTAAGTCAAATACTTCAACAGGAAGAAGGCTTCAGAATAGCCGATCGAAAACAACGATCAATATATTCAACCGGTGACGATGATACAGGAATGTTCGATGGATCAGGAGATCTTGAAAGCGAAGAGCTACCACCAGTCTATTCAAATATGAGTATTGTAACATTTACTATGGTGAGTTGTTTCCTATCGTAATTCAATAAATCATTCATAATATATGGTCCCATAACCATCTGGATTTTTTTTCTGTATCTGTATTATGGATAGTTAATAGATGTTTTGCTAGTGCCCTTTGTTTTTTTGTTAGTAATATTTTTCAGTTTCTAGTATATCACTAGTTAGTTCCAAAGAAAATAATCGAGTATTTTTCTCTTTCATGCGAAAAAGGAATAAGAAAGAAATCAGTAGGATGTTTATCACTTTCGTCATACATCTTTTTTTCTCAAATGTCAAAGCTTGCTTATATACGTCGTTGTTTCTTGATAAATAAACAATTGTGATAGAAGACTATGTCCATATATTCGTACAATAAGTCGTCCACAACGATTGAATAATTACTTTGTTGCTATTGTTGCCCTATGCAATTATTATTAATATACATAAGAACATTTTCTCGTTGTATTCATATATTCGATTAGAGTGAAAAAGAGAGAGAAAGAAAAAAAAACCAATACAAACAATTCTCTATACTCCATATGTCGGATTATTCTTTGTTGACTCAATATTGTTCATGATCATTCTACTTATAATAGTCATTTTCTTTCAGGTATATTAAGTTATTCTTTTCTTTTTATTTGTTTTTATTACATAATTATCTAAACGAAAAACTAATATTTTTGTTTCTTTTTTCTTTTTCTTTTTTATTATTCTTTTTCACAAATAGAAAAATATATCAAATCAGTTATGAACATATAATGATAAATATTATCTTCCATATTCTCTCAATGTGTAATCATGTTTTAGAAAATCAAGAAAAATTTGTTTATATAATATGTTGTTGATAGATTTCGCTTAAGCTTGTGTTATTCTCTCATTTATATGTATTGATGTTGTAATCATACAGCTTAATCTTATATGCATAATTATAAATAGCTCACAGCTATAACTATAGACAAACCTGATAATTATTATTATTTCTATATTACAGGGAACTACTACAACTGCTTTCACTAAATACACACCTCGTGTAAGTTAAACAAAAGACAAAGTAAACGAAAAATAATAAATTGTTGTTTTCCTGTTTGTTTTATAGGCATATGCTCCATGTCATTGTGAAAAGGTAAAAATTTCTATAACAAGGAAAAAAAAAGAAATAAAACAAACTTACTTTAAGGGTGAACGCGGAGAGAAAGGTGATGCCGGTATATGTCCGGCAGGTAATAGTCAATAGTATATTAATGTTTTTTTTTTTTTTTATTATTTAGTTTATTTTTTATTTTGAAAGATTGTGCTCTGAGATATAGTGTGGGGACAAAAGATTGTCTTGGTTCACAAATTAATCTAGAACATCTTGCTCAATCAATTCGTCAATTAATTATTGATAGCAAAGTAGAAGAATATATTCTATTTTATAAAAATAACAATTATAAATTTATTTTCATAGAGAATTGCTTATCGAAATGCTCGAGCAGTACCTTGTGTATGTACACCATCATCATCAGCACCAGTATCTTCAACAGTATCATCAATATCTACTCCATTTACTCTGGATTATGACACTGTAAAAACAAATGAATTATAAAGTTTTATGAAAAATGTTTCTTCTTGTTTTGTTTTAATTTTAGTATATGCGATTGAAAGGTGAGAAAGGTGATAGAGGTAATAAAGGTGATATTGGTACATCATGTTCATCAACATGTACACAATCGGTGCAGGTTAGAAGTTAATTCATGGCAAAAAAAAACATAAACTTTTATTCGTTCTGTTTTTTCTCTCATATAGAGCAATGTACGTGTATTTAAAACATTACAACAAGCAATCATTGCATCAACAACTTATCCTGATCATACATATATTCATATTGTTAATGACTATGGACGTTTACAAGGCGTTTATATCCGAGTTCATGGTCAATTAATACCACTACGATTAGAAAGCGATGTATGATCTACATTCCTGTTTTTGACTCATTAATGAATGTAATTATTTGTTTTTATAGAGTTCACATTATGTGCCAGAACAAACATTACCACCGACGACATTGTCTATCCCGAAGCCGGTAAGAATTAATCTTAGTGATTGTTCAATACATTATATTATGTTTTTTTTTTCTTTCAGCAATGTGCCACTACCCTTCCATGTAGAAGCGTAAGTATTTCAATCTCTGCCTTTTTCATAGAATAAAACCTTATCCCATTCGAATGAGAACAAACTAATAAACAAACGAGTTTGTTTCGTACATTGAAGAGTATGTACCCGTGGACACTAATGAAAGACAGCTGTTCAAGAATTGACAAATAGGATGTCGCCATGCTTTGATACTATTCTGTTATGATATTATACATAGTCTAGGAATGAAACGATATACATATTTATTAGGTCTTCATCATCAAAAATTCGATCTTGAGATAGATATATTAAAATCATACGAAATTTTCAGCTCTATGTCATAATGTCTTCGGAAAGTATTTAACAACAAACAAGCAATTAAACTCCTACGAGAATTCTGGAATGTACAATCAATTTAAATATCATCAAATATTTGGATTGAAATAATACGAGAATTTATCGAGCTCAAAAAAGAAAAAAAAAGAACAGCAGCAGCAGCATGAGATAAGTAGGATATCCATCATTGAACTACTTATATCATAAAAATGAAAAATTCTCATTTGATAATAATAAGTTTACTTGATATTTCTTTCAACGATAAATTGTACATAAATAAATTTCTTTTTGATTTAGCTTCATATATTTGCTATTGGTCCTCGTGTACGTAAAATGTGTTATCCAGAACAAACAAATTTATTATGTTCGAAATTATCTGATTATGATGATTTATGTGACCGTGAATCTAAACAATACGGTTTAACAGGTTTTTATCGAGCATTTATGTCAACAAGCACACAATGGTTATCGAATTTATTTGCTGGCATTTGTGTCAGTGCAACAATTGTTAATATGAATGTTAGTTTTTTTTAATTCTTTTACGAATATTATTTGTTTTGTTTTTTTGAAGGGAGAAATTTTATTTGATGCAGTTGAACATATGTTTCAACAAAGACCACCACAAAATGAAATTCTTGATGTAGATGGATCAAGACCTAAGTAAGTTTCATATTAGATTTAACTAGAAAATTATCAAAAAAAAAAAACAAACAAACAAATAAGCATACATTCCTATCTGTAGTAGAATCAAGTACTTGAACTCTTAGATAATCGTTCTGAATACGAAATTAAATATTCATACAAGACTCTATTTATCTATGTGAATCATTAATGTGTTGTTTTTGACTTTAAAAATGTGATATTGTCTAAGACGAAACAGTATTCTATTTGGCGTAGGGTTAGTACCTTTCCGATGATCGGATTAGCCTTTCTGTATTACATGGACATTGCATATAGTGTACTTTGTATTTATGTTGCCGAATAATACGTATTCACTCTTATATAGTTTTAAATCATTACTCCGAAAAAGAGAATTAGGAAAATTAAATATTTTGGGTTGGGATAAGGTGTTATAGACTTATTTTTGATGTTAGACATCAATTGCGATGTTTTGTTTGAAATATGTTTGGCAGATATTTCTTTTCTTATTTGATGGACAATTGTCAATCATCATATGATCAATGGATCAATTTTGCTTTACATTTCTTTGTGTTTGTTTATTTGTCGTTGCACGCTATTCAATTGTATTTGTAAGAAAGACAGATGTACGAGATCAATTTTAGTTCGGGTCTTGGTGACCGAAGCCAAAAATATAAAAATGTACCGGGTCGAAGACTATGACTAAAAAATAAAAAGTTATTTAGGTTGAAACTAAAAATTTTGGTTACATTTTCTATGATATTTAGCGAATTGTGTTAGAATTCATGTCGATCAAAATAAAAATTGAGGAAAAATAATCGAAGAAGAAAATGATGCATGTTTAGCTGATGCAAGAGAAACTACATCAGATGTTTTCTTTCCATATCAATAATACTCGGTCCATATCCTCAAAACATTAGTCTAGGGGAAATCGTAAGAAAGTTTTTAACTTCTTTTGAAAGTTATCACCATTTTACTAATTTTTCCACTTAAGACAAAGCATAAAGGGTGTTCCAGATATTCTGAAACGATTTTAAGAATTCACCGTTCTCGCATTCTACAAAAGCAAATTCGCTGAAACTTTGGTAGATTGTTGTACATATGTGGTACTACATAACTGCAAAGTTTCAGGTCTATAGCTTGTACTATGGATGAGAGCCTAGAACAACACTGTCATGTACTATTTTCGAAATTTTCCTGTATTCTGGGTCTGTCAAAATGTCTATATCTCGGCTNAAATGTACCCTACTTCATAATTAAACACGGTATACAAATACCAAGCATGCATGGGATACTCGCTAGCTTTGAAAGTTGGGCACTTTTTATGTTTTGAATAATATTCATTTAGTTTTTCTCCTGAACTTTCTACAGAAACAACTTTAATGATGCTTTTGTAGAGAATTTCACAGCGCATCTTTTGGTAAAAACAATCACGTCTAAAGATCAAAAAGAAAAAAAGTTATAGTCAAAATACTGAGACCTTCATTTATTCTGGGCCACCCGTTATTTCATATATATAAACTAGGGTATTTTCTTTCAAATGCTTATTATTCTACGGTGAAAAAGTCGTGCATGTTGAACTGAAAAAAAACAAACTCTCTTTCCGCTTTTGTGATTTGTATGTCGTCGATTGTCTCGAATCAAATAATTACTAAATTTTAAATGTATAGTAGAAACTTAATTAACGAAGTGATGACTGTATCACCTAACATAACTCATCAATAAGAATCGGAACACAACACCCATATGCAGACTGATTCAAGTTTTAACATAAATCTTCCACTCAATCTGACATTAGATGTAGCTAATCTTGGATCTGACATTGAATTTTACTTAGTTTACTCGAGTTTTAGAGTCTAGGAAAGAAATTTCGTCGTAATATCAATTTTCCGCCAATAATATTAGCACATTGACTAACTTCATAAATAATCAAGACAAAATATAATACATTGTAATCGGATATTGACATATTTATATGTAATTTAATTAATCTATGTTTATTAATGAAACAAAATATGATTATTACAGTCTGAATAATATTCCTGCATTTTTGTATACCATTTATGGTTGTTTAGATTTATCGACATGTTTTTATTCAGAAAATTTATTATCTATTTTCACTTCTTAAATTAACTAAGAACTGAATATACCTTATAAAGTCTGTTAATTTAAAGAAGTCTCTTGTACGTATAAATTACAAGACATTGGATGTTATTGAATTTTTTCAAATATAATTTGCATTGATACAATATAAAAACAACAATATGAATATTCAAAGTCGTATTACAAGAGTAAATTATATGTGTCATTTCATTCATTAGCGATACGATTTCTCAAAATACAAATACTTATATCACTAGACTTGGACATTTCTTTTAACTAAATTTTATGTAGCAGATATATTCTGAGTTACTCTAAATATCCTGAAAGACAAGCATTAGCGAGATGACATAAAAAAAAGGGCCGAAACTTTCACTATATGTGTTTTCATTTGCATATATTGCAAGTTCAAAGAGTATTTTTAATAACTAAATAATGCGCTGCATAGAAAAATTGTCAAGCTATGAAAACTCCACACAAAATGTCGGTAGCAACACGGCTGAGTTCGAATATAGAAATCAAAACTTCTATTCTAACTCAATCAGAAGTTTAGAAGTCAATTTTAAGTAGTAAAAATCCTTATTGGAAATCTCGAGATGATAGCAAAATAAAAAGTATCATCTTGAGACTATGTCAAAACTTTTTGAAAACCGTGATTGTGGGGACAATTTTTTAACAGTTCAATCTTGCTGAAGATTTCACCAGTGGGGAAGTTTATTCTAAAATTCTCGAAATCGGTAGTCATAAGTCTAAAGACCTTCAAAATTTATTTACGAGATGTTAATACATCAAAAGAACAAAAGTTTTCATATTTCTTTCATAAACGTATCCTCAAGAACGAAAACAAATTTAAATCGATTGATCTTTTCTTTTTGCTATGCGTATGTCAAAATCAATGAATAATTTTCAAATCAATCCTTTTTTTTTTTTTGTTAAAACTGTATGACTAATTTTTGTTGACGTTTGTTTTCTGTTTATATTTATATCGAAGTACAACGGTAAAATATTACTATATTCAATTTTTCATAATAGGCGAATATAAACACACATAATAATTATCTTGCCAAAATCAGTTGTTCAGAGGCATGCTCATGTCCTACAACAAGACTTTTTGTTTTGGTATTATATCGCGATCTTCAAGAAGGAATTGATTTTTGAAATTCTTATTCAATAACAGGCGACGTTTTCATTTCTATATTCGTATTCGTTAACGTCTCTAATAATTAATGAATTTTAATTTTCAACAAGTATTCGTTGAATTTGAAAATCTTGGTTCTTACTAGCGACTCATACATAACGCTTGTCTTTCAATAATAACTTGACAGAACAAAGTTGTATAGAGTGGAGCTTTTCATAATATCTAGAGTAACTCAACGTATATCTATTGCATAGAAATTAGTTAATAGAGATGTACAAGGTCAGAGATATAAGCATATTTATTTTGCGAAATCATATCGCTAATAAATGAAATTATCCATATATTGATAATCTTATTTTATTTTTAAGTAAATTAGAAAACATGAACTATTCGAATATACAATCATTGTTTATATTTTATATCTTCGAAATGTTGTCTTAGAACGTAGTAGCACAATAATTTAATTATTCAGTAATGTAGAACTGTTCTGGGAGAAAGAATTGATGTTATTAGCATCTGCTAAATTGTTATAAATAAAAGCGTATGTCAAGGTTTTTGTTGAAAGGCTAATAATATGTTACAGTCTATGACACATACTAAAAGTAGTTTCTGCTTGCTCTGTAATATATTCTTCTTGCCAGAAATCATAATAAATTCCTAATAAGAAAATAAATAGTACTAAAGTCTATGGCAATATATATTGAGTTTTAAACTAAAATAAAAATTATAGCAGTTCTTTTCAAAGAAAATTCCAATGGATAATTCTAATAACATGACGTGCTGATGATATTAAAAGTAAAATATTTATGAAAATGATTGATTTAACATTATCTATCTATTATAGTAACCTTTGTCATATTTTCATAAACAAAGTGAAGTAAAATGCCAATAAAATCTTTACATACATTTATAAATCTGATAATTCAATCATTGAGCGTTTTTATGTTAATCGATTATGGTTTTAAAAGAAAAAAGTACTTTTTCATACGATTTTTTGAAAAAACAAATCAATAGAAGTACACATAATAGTCAATCAACAACAAGCCATACGTTCTTTTTTATTACATCTTATAAAAGAAAACATCGTTTTAAAATGTTTTCTTTTCTTTTTCATCCCACCTTCTTCTTTTTTTTTTTTTTTATAATTGTTACTCTCTAGTTGAATTATTAACACCCGAACGGCTTCATAGAATCGACAATTTTCGTTTCTTTAGTAGCATCTATCTATCGTCACTTGTTGGTCATCATTAAGAGCATCAAGCATTAGAATATTAAATCAATACAGAAAAAAAAATGTGCTTATATTAATCAAAAGCGACTTAACTTTACACTCCACTATTCTTTTTTTCAATTGGAAACAAAGATGAATATAATGTCTATGATTGATATTTTAAATGATACTATCAATCAATATCCATCATTGACAGTCGATGGATCTTATTGTAAACTTTATGAATTAAGATTAAAAGATTTAGTAGCTTACAATCGATATCGTAGAGAACAAGAAGTTCAATTTGTTCGTGAAAAATTAATTGAAGATCAATCAATTGATAATTGTTTATCTGAACAACAATTACGTAAAGAATTTATAAATCAAAGACAAGAACGAACAAAACTTCAATCGCAAGAAATTTTACCAAATAATTACAAAAAACGACCTATTTATATTCCAGTAAAAACAAAACAAACTATTACATTAAGTATTACATCAAATAATGTTCCAACAATAACAGAACCTCGATCAAAGTGTACTGTAAAAACCAAACTACCTCCAATGTGAGGAATAGTAAAATTGGTTTTTTTATTTTCGTTTAAAATTAAAACAATTTATTTTGATTTTTTTATTTAGACCAAGAAAACGTGAACGTATAACAAGTGCACCAACATCTTGTCCAAAAAATATAAATAAACGTAAAATAATTCCAACAATTACAATTGATTATGCAGATGAAACTTTATCAAAAGCTAATAATCATTCATTTACACAAGTGACATCATCATCACAAAATTATCATAATAAAAGGCATAACCACGCTCGACAATCTACACTTGAGACAATAATGGGACATCTTGATTCTTATAAATCAGTTAATTTTTCTAAGGGATCTATTTATCAAGATATTGAACATAAATTTTCATCGAGTATTGCACCAGATGTCTATGAAAATTTTGAACGTATTCTTTTTTAGACAAAAAAAAAAAATGATGAATTGTACATTGTAAATAGAAGCTTTTCAACTTTTTTATGTTTTTTAATTTTGATCAATAGAACAATGTTATTGAAAAACTTTAAGAATCAATGATTGACTTTGACTGATGTAAGACACACAATTAGAGTAAATTAAATCAATCCTTTGTTAAATCGTGTAAGTACACATAGACAGAAGAAGAAAAGAAAAACAATGAACTATTTGACCAATTACTAACCATTCTAATCAATTGATGTTGTTCGAGACAATGTTTTATTTATAAAATGGCAGCATCATGGCTGTCTATTGTGATTTTTATACTAATATTATTTATTCAAATTTATAGTGAAGATACATTTGATTGCACAGGTTATGAAGATGATTCATTTCATCCTATATATAATACAAATGATTGTCGATATTATTGGCATTGTATATATGTTGGTACAAAATATATGCGAGCAGTTAAACGTGCCTGTCCAGCTGGAACTGCATTTGATTTTCGATTAAAAGAATGTGAACTATCAAGTTCAGTGAGTATTGATATCTTTTCTTGTATATTAGATCTATGAATATGTCTAGGTGAAGTGTGTATTAATTTCATCGTTTGTTACATCAAGAATAAGTATGAGTACAAAAAAATATACAAAATCATTTTCACGAACACAATCGATAATAAAAAAACAACATTCATTAATTAATCTCAATAAATCTACTAATATGAATGTAATAACACAAAAATTCAAAGTATTACCTATAACTTCATCTGAATTAACACCTATTTTTTCATTTGAACAAGTAAGTTCTATTATATGATTAAACAAATAAATAAATCTCTATATCAAATTTATTTTTTCAGCTTATAAAAAAATTAAATGCTCTACCATTCTATCCAAAACATGAATCCGTAGTATATACTATTGAACCTAAAGTTTACAATACAATGAATCAATTTAAACCTTCTCAATCGACATCAATTCCAACAACAACAACTAAAATGTCGCAAATGATAACAAAACACTTTTTTTTAACATCAAAAAGAAATCAAAAACATATTCATCATCATCATCATCATCGTAATAATTTAACATTAAATATTTTAACAAGTAATGAACATAAAATTCGACAATTTTCAATAAATCAAACACATGGTATACTTATTCAATGTAATGAAATTCGACGTCGTCAATTACGTGATTTAATTTTTCGAACAACAACATATTCTCTAAAACTTTTAAATTCTTCATCGAAAATCTTTCATTATGACATATTATCTTTAAAAATATTTATAATGTCTTTCTTATTTTTACAAAAAATAAGTGATTAAAAAAAAAAAAAGACAAAAAAAAAATGAAGAAAAATCATGTGTTCATGTATTTTGTTTTCACTTGATAATTATAGAATGTGGACAATCAAGGCTAAAACAAACCAACAAAAAAAATATTAAAATTAATTAAATATCATAAAATATAAAAAGAAAAACTATGTGGGAATATACACAAACACAAGTGAAATACATGTTCTAACCTACGATATTATGCTCGAACTTGTATACCCTGAGGATGATGAGGGCAAGTTACTGTTTCTGACCTGTTTAATTTTTAATTTTTAAGAAATATAAAATTTTTATTTTTTTTTTGAATTTTTTGATTTAAAAAAAAAAAACTTTTCTTACCCACTTAAATCCCATACATGACGTTTAATAAGAAGTTTTTCACATATTTCACATGGAAATTGATGTTGAGTACGTGTACGACCTAATTTTCGTGTTGCTGATGAAGTACGAACAGGAGGTGGAGCTGGAGCCTGTTTAAATACGGGTTTTTGTTTTGTTTGATTTTCATAACCGATGATTGGTTGATTAAGAACATCATGTAAAATTTTCATAGCTGATGCTCGTTCTAACAAAATGAAGATGAAATTTTGAAAAATAGAATTATTCTTTTTTTAGTGCATATCTATAACCTTTATCTGTTGCATTTCGAACCCAAACACCAAAATCATTTTGTGATGTTCGTGCTAATTGACGCAATTGATTATTCATTGTTGTCGATTGCTGTTGATTTGGATAAGTAACCTTTTTTTTTTATATAGATGGAAAAGAATCCTTATATAAACATTTTCTTAATGATTGTTTACTTACTATAGAATCGCTTTTATTCTCCGGTAACATTGATGGTAGACGATAAACGGGATTTTCAGGTCTTCTTTCAACATCCATTTTCAAACTTCTTAAATATTCTTCTTGTGCAACATTAGCTGTTTCGAGCGCTTCAACATATTCATTCGGTAAACCATCACAATCAACCATTTGTATAAGAATTGATGGCGATTCAACATCTAGTGCGTTTGATGGTTTGTCTTCTTCAACAATCCATATATCATTTTTTGGTGTTTGAACTTGTACTTGTATTTGTTCATTGTCGGATTCTTTTGGTGTTATAGGTTTGGGAGTATCATGAACACGTACAGGACATGTTTTTGGACGTGGAGGATAATTATCTATTGATGAATTATATCGATGTTTATCAAGCCGATAACGAATAGCACGTAAATCATCTGGTGTTTCAGGAGGATGATAGGTAATAAAATGATGTTGATCATCATTGGTTTGTTTTTTATGTTGAATTTGAGTTGAAGCTGATAATGGTCGAATAGTTGGTTGAGGTGTTTGTTGTTGTTGAACTGATACATTGGATGCTGATGATGGTCGAGCAAGAGTTGAAGGTATTTTTAACTGTCCTAAACGTTTTCTTATATCAATTATATAATCAGGTGTTCTAGGATTTGGATAAGTAAGCCAATGTCGACTGTTATCATTATTAGGGTCAATTGGTGGTTTTTCTTTTTCTTCTTTTAGTGTTTGACGTGTTTCAGGTGCTGTTAATGGACGAGTCCTTTCTATTAAAATAATTTGTTTTTCCATAATTTAAAAAGAAAATAAAACATTTATTTACCTTCAATGTTTGGAAGCGCAGATTGTGAACGTTGTGATGCTTTTGATTGGCAATTAGTGTCCTTGAAAAACAAAATCGATCGCAAAAAAATACTTTATAGTGTTTTTTAGATAAAAAAAAAACCTCATTAGCTGTAGTTGGACGTTGTTTGTATTCAACAATAATAACTGGTGCTTTTGATGATGTAGATCGATGTGAAGCAGGTCGATCTTGATTATCTTCAGGTTTTTTTACTACAATAACAGAATTATTTGTTTGTTCTTCATTTGATGCAACAAGTAAACATTGATTCGTTTGTTTTTGTTGTTGTTTTTGTAATTGTCTTTGATATTTTTGACCATATGTTGATACTTTTTTATCTTTACTTGTTGATCGATATTTTCTCCATTTATAATGATCAGTATATGTTGAATTTGATGGCTTCCATCCTAGTGGATCATGTAATAACGGTTGAAAGATTACAGACGACATGGCCGGACCCTTTTATTTAAAAAAAATGAAAAAGATGTTGTAACTATTTTATTATAAAGAATAGACAAAATACATAAAAGAGAAAAGAAACGAATATGAAAAGTTATGTACATATGTTGGTTGCCAATGATGGTGGTTGTTATGGATTGGTTTGATGACAAAGCCACTCTCACTACCATTACCTTCTCTTTGATTTCTATACGTTCTTCTCAGTTAATTGAAGACGAATTCTAATAACAACAACAGCGACAGCATTAAAGACAAACAGAAAACGGTTCGTATGAGAACACGTTTTTTTGTGTGTAAATTGACACTTTATTTATTGGCATAGCATAATGTCAATCTTCTCTCGTTGTCAATGTGTTTAAAATGAAATTTAGAATAAACAATAGCAACAAGAAAAAAAAATCATACTTTTTTCTTTGTTAAATATATATCGTATGACTTCTACATGGATTTATTTTTTCTTAATACCATTATAAAAAAAGAAGTTAACATTTTTTATTTTATTTCAAAATATGTATTGTTTTAAAAATTTTCTTAAAAATCTATTTCCTAGTGAAAATTAAGGATTCTCTACTTAGAGCATATGAATAGTAATGACAAAAAGACACTTCAATACTGTATATAAAGGTTGAGGAAATTTTCTCTCTATATATGCTAAGAGGAAAATTAGTGTTCTATATTTCATCATGTTTCAACTAATATCATAATCATAATATTTCGATAAGAACTGTTTGTTATGATGTGTAACAATAATACTTTTGAACATTTTGAATAAATTTTAATAGAGCCAAAGATAGGGAGGCATAGCTCTGACCTTTAGAAAGAGGAAATGATGACGAATTGAATCATTTATTACACCCATGAAGTGTTTATAATGAATTTTTTATTTATCAGATGTGTATTTGAACTACCAATCGAAGATCTACTCGATATTCTGCTTGAAATTTGAAAATTGCTTTTTCTGGTGATTTCTCTGTTAAAAATATCATTTTCTAATATTGTCTTAAAGAAATTGATTAAAAACCATTAGAAAAACCAATAATCTACGAATTCGTTCTATCAAAAGTTATTCAAAATGCTTCAAATTATTATTGTTGTAAAGCATAACAAACAGCTTTTATCAAAATTTTATTATCATGATATTAATTTATATATCTATTAAAAACCTTTACATGAATTACAATCATGTCTATCCAGATAAAGACATACAGATTGATTCTAGCAAAAAAAATATTAAAAATCGATAGAACTTGCAGACAGTATTCTAGACCGGAGAAGTTTTCAAGTAACATCTGGCCAACATCTTATATTTTACGACCAAAATAACTGACAAATTCAGAGACTTCTTCTAAGCTTCATTCATTTTTGCTAGATGATTCGATACGACTTTCGTATTCGAACATCAAATAAAAACATATTGAAATTAAGCATCATTTTTTTCAAATAGCAAATAAATAAAATTTCAAATATATTATTGTTCGTCAATGGAATATGTCATAAGTTCTTCTATATACACAAAACAATCATATAGAATCGATTAACAAAAAAAAAAACAAATTTAACTATTCGAAAGATGTAACAATGCATTTTGAATTTTTTAATATTTCTGTGTTTTCAAAATAATAATTCGTTTTAAAAGATTAAACAGATTATGAAATTAAAATTTTCAAATCTGATTTTAATATGCTGACAGTCTAACCAGTCTTTTCCCGTTATTTTATTGAATATGTAATTATTCATCAGTTGACTTTTATTACTTTTTTGCTTTCGCCTCATATTTGGTCTTTCGTTTGTGATAAGTTTAAATAAATATTTGTAATCTTTATTATATAAATGGATAAACGATGTAACCTGATAATACACAAGAGTCATTTTTTTTGTTCGATAAAATAAAATCAAGGCAACAACCCTCATAATTATTTGTCATTCGGTATCAGCAAAAAGAGAACCAAAAGAAATGAAAGAAGACTAAGAATGAAAAATATATTTTCTTGAATACATGGATTTCTTTCATAATATGGATTTATTTATCGAATAATTATAGAAACAAGCAAGAAAATAATTAGAACGAGAAATTTGATTAAAACAAATTTTAACATCTATTCGATATATGTACAATAGATTAATATTTACCATTTTATTTTCAAAAATAAATCAATAATAGCAAGGTTTCAATTACTTGCTAAATTAACATATCAATTTCACGAAGAATCATGTGAATATTTTTATATCAGTTAATGAGAGAGCTAGAAAAAACAATGTAGAAAGATTCAGCCTTCGTTTAAAAGATACAAAACTCTTGTACTCAATTGAGTGAGGAGCTACCCATATACTAGATCAGATGTATATCACAACGTAGTCGCTCAGTCATGGCAACGTTCAGCCTTCATTTGAAGTTGACACGGAGATATTTTCTCCGCCTTTATATCGATTTGTCTTCAAGTACCTAGCATATTGTAGGGTGTGGGTGAACAGAAGATTAACATATGTTACTACACCCGTATCACTATCCTAGCATCTTCTACTATTCACACCACGATTTTATCTAGGGGTGGCACTTTAACTTTACTTTAAAGTTAAAGTACAGTTACTTTTCAACATTCGCATTCCACATGTTATAATAATAGATACCGTCCTCTACACGCGTACTAATATGATAAATGCTGCCGAATATCAAGAAGTTTGAATGTGTTAATAGTTGCAAGAAATTCTCAATTCTTTCTGTCGGATATCACAATTTTTGGTAAAGTTTAGCACAGAATTTTTCTTGGTTAAGATATCTCAAACTAAGATTGGTCTTTGAAGGTATTTTTACGCTCAATTCGCTTTACAAATAATCATAATCTTGTTGAAATATTCATATATATTGAGAAACAAAATTAGTGCTTTAGAT